GCCCAATGTACGCGACTATAAAATAGTGGTTGAGCATATCAAGGGGAAAGATGCTAGAATGTAAATGGGACAAGCAGGTGAAAACAAAATGGGACAGGCCTGAATAGCTCCAACTAATTTCCTTATTTTTATTTTTATTTGAGACAGGGTCTCACTCTGTCACCCAGGCTGGAGTGCAGTGGCACAGTCTACTGCAGCCTTAACCTCCTGGGCTCAAGCAGTCCTCCCATCACAGCCTCCCTAGTAGCTGGGCTTACAGGCATGATCCACCACACCCAGCCACCAGCTAAGTTCTTTTATCACTCTTTCCTTCAGTCTGCACGATGTTGAGAGAATAGTTAAATTGAAATGGCAGTTTTATTATTTTAGCCTTGTGTGACTCTAAAGCTATTTAAATTATTTGGTGGTTCTCAAAAGTATTAGTTCCATTTGGGCATAGCAATTTGGGCTAGATATAGTGGTCAGTATAGAAAATACAGTATAGGCCGGGCGCGGTGGCTCACACTTGTAATCCCAGCACTTTGGGAGGCTGAGGCGGGCGGATCACGAGGTCAGGAGATCGAGACCATCCTGGCTAACACAGTGAAACCCCGTCTCTACTAAAAATACAAAAAAATTAGCCGGGCGTAGTGGCGGGTGCCTGTAGTCCCAGCTACTCGGGAGGCTGAGGCAGGAGAATGGCATGAACCCGGGAGGTGGAGCTTGCAGTGAGCCAAGATCGCACCACTGCACTCCAGCCTGGGCAGCAGAGCGAGACTCCGTCTCAAAAAAAAAAAAAATAAAAAAGAAAATACAGTATAGAAAATATTTGAAACTTGATTTCTCCCTAAATCCTCATGACCAGTCCCATTCTCTTCCATCTTGTGCTTCTTTTGTGTGGCTTAGCATGGGAAGAGTGGGCTGTGGACTCTCATTCCCATGAGACATAGGATCATCAGTGTTACTCAAACAAAGAACATTTTATGTCAAGCACCGTAATAGGTGTTAAAGGCATCCACTAATGATTTCTTACCTTTATGTCTCCCTCAGGTACAGAACCCTGGTATTTCTATTTAATTAATGGATTTCTGAATTTCAATGTAGGCTTTGCTTTGGCTCTCCTAGTCCTACCACTGACTTCTCTTATGGAATACTTGCTGCAGAGATTTCATGGTGAGTGGTCTAAGAGATACCATGGTGAGTGGTGTAAGAGATACCTTGATACCAGATAGGTGTTTTGGGAGGAAAGAGCAAGTAATGATGTATACCAAGAACTGAAGGAAAATCCTACTTACTTCGTTTTCCACATTCTTCCTATGGAAATGGTTGGCTTACTGAATTTTCAGTCTGTATTTGTTGATCTGTTGAACCATTATGAAGATTTGGTACGTTGGGGCAAATTAAATTGACAGGAGGAAGAGCTTCATTATTGCTTTAATATAATTTATAATTTAAGTCAATATAATTTACACAATCACCCAGGGAAGTAAAAATGTTTATAAAATCTCACAAGGAGGCCGGGCGCGGTGGCTCACGCCTGTAATCCCAGCACTTTGGGAGGCCAAGGTGGTTGGATCACCTGAGGTCAGGAGTTAAAGACCAGCCTGGCCAACGTGGTGAAGCCCCATCTCTACTAAAAATACAAAAATTAGCCATATGTGGTGGTGGGCGCCTGTAATCCCAGTTACTAGGGAGGCTGAGGCAGGAGAATTGCTTGAACCCAGGAGGCAGAGGTTATAGTGAGCCAAGATCCTGCGCCATTGCACTCCAGCTGGGCGACAAGAGCAAAACTCCATCTCAAAAAAAAAAAAAAAAAAAAAAAAATCTCAGAAGAGTACAAGCCTATCTGAGTTTTCTGTCTTTTAAAGAAGTGTGTATTAACCTGATAGGTTGCTTAAGGTAATCCATGAGATTTTTTCAAACAAAAGTATAAAATCTGAACCATACAGGGATTTCCCCAAATTTGACATTGAAGTACAGGAAGCTTTGGACTTCCTCAGAAGCGTGATGCTTTTCTTTGTTCCTTTTTGTTTCTGTGTCTGCCTTATTGGAGAAAGTTTGGTTTGTCATTGCTTTGCTTGCTCTGATTCTGTAATGCACAGCTGGTGTTTTCTCAAGTTGTCGTGGCTCTGGATATCTAGTGCCTCTCGTTTCTTTTATGGAAGACAGATTTGAGCAGAAATTCATATGAGGTTTTGAAAAAGATTTAATTTCAGACTTTTCAGTCTGATTTGGATGCCATATGATCAGTTCCCCCATCCCACCTCCATTCTGCTTTTCTACTATTAATGGTTTATAATGAGTTCATTTTATTATAAGAATATTAGAGTAGCCTTCAGAGTCACTTTTTTTGGTGTTAGGACTTTTGTTTTAACATAGCCATAATGCCATTATCCTAACAAAATTATCAGTAATTTCTTAATACCATCTAATACCCAGTTGATTTCCTAGATTGTCTGAAAAATAGCCTTTTATAGTTAGTTTAAAAGCAGAATCTCAACAAGGGTCACATACTGAATTTAGTGTCTTAAGCTTTTTAAGAAGACCCCCATCTTACTTTTTTTCTTTCAAAGATTTCTTTAAAGAAACCAGGCCATCATCTTGCATAATGTCCCACATTTTAGACTCAGCTGTTTGCTCCCTTGAGGTGTTAACTTATTCCTCTATCCCTTCTATTTCTTAAGGATCACTTTTTCTTTTTTTGAAAATAGCTATTTTTCTGACTATAAAAATAATTTATGATAGCTGGGAGCAGTGGCACGTGCCTATAGTCCCAGCTGCCCGGGAGGCTAAGTTGGGAGGATTGCTTGAGCCCAGGAGTTCGAGACCACTCTGAGCAACATAGTGAGACCTGTGTCTCTGTTTTTAAAAACAATAATAATTATTTATGCTTTTGGAAAATTTGGAAATGCTTGTAACATCAGTAAAAAACCAGAATATTAAGCTGTTCCCTACAGTATGATAAAAATTTAAGTATAAAAATTGATTTAAAATGCATAATGTATGCACATATCTACCTAGTAAGAAAACAAACATTTTCTGTTTTCTTCTTTATATTTTAATGGGATTTTTACAATAGAACCAATACCTTTTTAAGAGAAAAAAGACCAGGCACGGTGGCTCATGCCTATAATCCCAGTAGTTTGGGAGGATGAGGTGGAAGGATTGCTTGAACCCAGGAATTCAAGACCAGCCTGGGTGAGACAGCAAGACCCTGTCTGTCACTACAAAAAAATTAAAAAATTGACGGGGCATGATGGTGCACACCTGTAGTCCCAGCTATTTGGGAGGCTGGATTGCTTAAGCCTAGGTCAAGGCTACAGTGAGCCATGGTTGTGCCACTACACTCCAGCCTGGGTGACAGAGAGAGACCCTGTCTGAAGAGAAAAAAAAGTCCTCCATAGAAAATTATAAAGAAGCAGGAAATAAATTACCCATGATTTCATCATATCTAGCTGTGGTTGTGATTTTGTATATTTTATGGAGGACATTTCAAAATTTTTTGCCTTATTAAAAAAAAGATTACTCGTTAGCCTTTAAGGTACAGAAGAGAAAAGGACCATTTACTTGTGGACAATAAATGGATTTATTTTATTCTAATTAAAAAACCCCACCTTAGACCAGGCACGGTGGCTCACGCCTGTAATCCCAGCACTTTGAGAGGCTGAGGCAGGTGGATCACCTGAGGTCAGGAGTTCAAGACCAGCACGGCCAACAGTGTGAAACCCCATCTCTACTAAAAATATAACAATTAGCCTGGTGTGTTGATGTATGCCTGTAATCCCAGTTACTAAGGAGGCTGAGGCAGGAGAATCTTTGAACCTGCGAGGTGGAGGTTGCAGTGAGCCAAGATCATGCCACTGCACTCCAGCCTGGGCGACAGAGAGAGACTCCATCTCAAAAAACAAACAAACAAAAACCTCCGCCTTAAAATATACTACCTAGAAAGGTATATATCCTAAATATCTAAATAATCTAATCTAAAATCCCATAATATCTTAGAGCAAAAGTTGAAAAAAAATCTTGTTATTGTTGTTCAAGAATTTTTATCATTCCTAAAGAATTTCTGCGGTGATACTGATAGCCTAGGAATGCTAAATTAGGCATAGCTAAAGAGGGTCTTGATGATAGTCCTGATCTTGTAGCTTACCATTAACATGGTGGACACCAGGTGGCGCTGTCTATCTACCATTTGCCTGCGTTTGCATTGCTCATTATCGCTCATGTAAACGCAGTAGGAGATGCCTTCACTGTGGGTTGCAGGCTTGTCACTCATTGCTCATGTACCTAACCACGGGAACTTTCCAGCAGGTTCTTGGGTTTTCGTGTTCATTACATTCTTTTAATTCTTTCACATGCTTTAAGTACATTTTTGTTCCAATTTGGGGATCTGGAGTGGATGCGTATTGCAAAAAATGGAGAGAAAACAATCACTGAACTTCCTTTAAGAGCATTTTTATGTTTGCTTTGAAGCAAACTCTGTCATTTGTGGCTTGATGAAAACCAGTAATGAGTTTGAGAATCCAACAATTTTTTTTTCCTTTGATCCATCCATGGCTATTTGAACAGACTGATTGGTGTATAGATAAGAGGATTCATGTATTAAACACAACATCAGAATTAAAACCCAAGAAATGAATTTATGTTATGTTTTTGGTTAAACTCAGGAACCTTTCGTCTTAGTGGCAGGACTCATTAAAGGAGACGCCTTTTTTTTTCTTCATCTAATGTGGAATTTATTAAGTTCTATTAGCCATTAACTTTACATTCATTTGTGTCCTAACCAAATCTAGTATTGTGCTTGTTGTTAGAGTTTAGATCTCTTGGGAGAGCTAAGGAGTATATTCCTCTCTCCTTTTGATGCCTGTATTGCATTGGAGAAAGTGTGAATACAAGAGTAGAAACATTTTGTGGAGTGTCCTAGGGCATACTCCCAAATATGAGATCAAGATAACACTGAAACTAAATACGTCATTTTGTTCTAATATAATGAAAGATGAATGTTTTTCTGTGTCTTGCAGTTCAGAATTTAGGCCACCCATATTGGCTTACTTTGGCTCCAATGTATATTTGGTTTATAATTTTCTTCATCCAGCCTCACAAAGAGGAGAGATTTCTTTTCCCCGTGTATCCACTTATATGTCTCTGTGGTGCCGTGGCTCTTTCTGCACTTCAGGTAAGTTTCAGGGAGAAGTATATCTACCTCATTCTTTTTTACTTATTAAATAATTGCTCACAAAACTTAAGTGCAAATTACAGAATGCTTCCACCTAAGATATTTTATCCATAACATTAAACCTGATATAGATCATATTATTAAAGCTTCTTATATTGCTTAGCTGTTTACCATACTCATATTTGCTGATTACATGTTTGCAGTGTTAATTTGTGTGTTACTTTGCCTCTGTTACCAACAAGAATCCAATTGCAGAATTCCATTCTGTGGCAGAGGTAATGGAACGTCTGCTCTTTGAACTGCTAGATCATAACAAAACTTGCTCAAGAGTTTGGGATCACAGCAGGCAGTTCACAGTATGGGGCACTTTGTAATCCTGGTTGAAAACCTGCCCAGGTCAATTCTCTGGCAGAGCTCATCTTAACTCTGTTTGAACAACTCTGTACTGACGGCTTCAGTACCCTCAGAACCCTGTATTGCCCTCTGCTACCATTTGCAGTTGGCAGAAAAAAAAATAATTAGGATGATAGGTTTTTTTCTTAACAGGTTTTTTGAGATATAATTCACAAACCATATAGTTTACCTATTTAAAGGGTATGATTCAGTGGTTTTTAGTCTATTCACAGATGTGTGCAACTGTCACCACAGTCAGTTTTAGATCAAAAAGCCTGTACCCTTTAGCTTTTGTTCCCCCATTCCCTTTCCCATATCTCCCCAACCCTAAATAACCATTACTCTACTTTCTATTCCTACAGATTTGCCTATTTTGAACATTTCCTATACATGGAAACATATGATATGTGGTCTTTTGTGACTGGCTTCTCTTAACATAATGTTTTCAAGGTTCATCAATATTAGTTGATAGTTTTGAAAAATAATTTTAATTATAAAAGTAATTGAACTTTATTGCAGATAATTTGGGAAGTGGTAAAAGAAAAATTAGTCCCATTAACCTAACAAAAACTCCTCCCAGTATTTTTGTATATCATATACCAAGGTTTGTTATAGTTGTGATAAGTATACATGTAACTTTATAGCCCTTCTAATTTAATATTATAACATTCTCTGTGGTTATCATTTTAGTAGCTGTAGAATGTTCTGAGTCAGATATAATATATGACATTATCATGTAATATGTAATATATTGACTTGATTTTGTATAATATAATTATTGGATATAATTCATGGTAGAATTTAGGTTGCTCATTTATTCAGTATTATAAATACTGCTAGGATAAATATCTTCATTTAGATATTTGGATTGATTCCTCAGGATAGATTCCAAAAAATATGAAAAGGGTTCAAACAGATTTGTGCCATTTGTTATATATTGGAAAATTGCTTTCTGAAAGTAGTTTCTGTCTAGCAGGGAAGGAAGGAAGGGAAGAAGTCTGAGTAGAAGGAACTCAAAGACAGCAGAATTCATGCATGCATGTTTATATTATATTCATCTAGTTTGCAAAGTCATTTAGCATATAATTAAGAGCATGTGCCTAGTGTTCTGTAAAGGGAATGCTTTTTTATTTGGTCATGAGACTTTTTTTGATACTAAAAGCTTTCATAAAAACTTTGATAGTAAAGATTAGTACTCATTGTATCAAAAACAAATTGAAATACTTTATATGTCAAAACTACCAAAAAACCATTGCTTAAATACTTAAAAAAATAACTTATTAGGACTATAAATGCTAGAAAAATATTCAAATAATTTTCCTGTGCAGCTAGTGAGATTTCATTGTTGGCAAGCCCTCTGCCTGGCCAAGACTGCAGGTAGTCTTAGAGGAGCTGGCTTTTATCTTAGAGTTTTGAGTAGGTACCTCACTGTTTGCAAATGCTCAGATCCCTAATAGAACCTCTTTTTTGGCTTCGCTTTTGATGTTACTGTGATGTCTTGTAATTATGTCTATTCTACAAGTTATATTTTCCTTTATCAGCCAGTTTTCTGTACTTCCAGAAATGTTACCACTTTGTGTTTCAACGATACCGCCTGGAGCACTATACTGTGACGTCGAATTGGCTGGCATTAGGAACTGTCTTCCTGTTTGGGCTTTTGTCGTTTTCTCGCTCTGTGGCACTGTTCAGAGGTAGACCTTCTAAGAATATCTTAACCTACACTGACGAGTCGCTTCCCCTTAGGTTTTACTTGATTCATGATTATATAATACACATTTGGCTTACACTAAGAAGGCCATTTCTAAAAAGAGAACCTGTAGACTTAATATTAATGAGTGGGATGTGACTTCTACATCATAGGATTGAAGAGAAGATTGAGAATTCCTTTTAGTGTGATTAACTGTACATTTTTTGTCTATTTTTTTTTTCTTTTAATGAATGCTGGTAAATTAAGGAAGACTTAAACTTAAAATGCAAATTTGGGCTAACTTCTCCTGATTATATTTTTTCTTATAATCATTGTTTGGATCCATAATATTAAAATATGTTCAAGGAAAATGAAGTTAAAAAGGAGAAAGAGCAAAGAGAGGGGCAAGAAAGCCAATTATTTTTGGCAGAATAGGGCCTCTGCTGTAACCATGTTCCCAGCTAGAGAGACGTTTTATACATGTAGAGCAGGCTTCGTGCTGGAATAGCTGTGGCCCTTCCTGCCTTTTAAATTTCGTGTGGCTTAGAGTGTGACATTAATGTGCAGTATAATTAAAGTCAGAATCTCATCTTACTCATCTCTGGCTCTCACTAACTGTTCTCCCTTCCAGGATATCACGGGCCCCTTGATTTGTATCCAGAATTTTACCGAATTGCTACAGATCCAACCATCCACACTGTCCCAGAAGGCAGACCTGTGAATGTCTGTGTAGGAAAAGAGTGGTATCGATTTCCCAGCAGCTTCCTTCTTCCCGATAAGTAAGTTGTCCTTTAATTCCCAGGGTTTTAATGAAGGAGTAAATAGAGTAGTTCTATGTCAGTGTCTTTGAATTTTTGTTTTCTTTTGGAATTTTCACAGAGAGTTATTGAATTATTTACCACCTTAGAGAGCTGTGGGGCCTGTGTACTGTACACCTGCCTCCTGTGTTCATTGGGCTCATTAGACTGAGGGCTGGATCTAGGTAGGCATTCTGTACTGCCCATAACTGCAGGTGTCTGGGAACTTCTGAAAATGCCCCGGGTCCTAGGCTTTTGCCAGTGGCTCTTCCTGGGGATTCATATTTACATTTCTATAATTACCTCATGTTAATCCACTTCTAAAAGCGGTCTAGAAACTCCAGCTAGAAGAGAGAAGACATTTTTGATCCAACAATAGTGAAAGTTCTCCACCATTATATGGACACTGGGGAAGGCTGTGGTTAAAATATCTATACCAGTTTTCTTTATGCTTTCTGTGGTTCTGAGAGCGTAGGCCCTAAAGTTCTTTGCAGGTTGCTTCATTTGGCCAGAGAAGAGTCCTGTGTAGGTTAAAGGGAAATCTGGTTGAGTCATGTTGCTCCATTTGAGAACTGGCTTCTTTAGCTTAGCTTTACTGGGTAGTAGTTTCTTATGCTTCATAAAGACCCTGTGTCAGTCATTAATTATTAAATTAAAACTTGTTTTTTAAGTGTTGACTTTGGCCTTTGCCTTTTACATTTGAAATAGTTTTATAGATAGAGATATGTTTGAGGGTTACTCTGGAACAAAGTATTTCTCCCATAGTGTGTTCTCAGTGCCATATATTACATTTCATTCTTTTTCTCTACACCTGCTAATTTGCTTTATTTGATAAGTCTCTCTGCCCACATGGTAATTGATAATAAACATTGGCACTTCTCTGGTTTTTTGATGATATGACCATTTGGTTCTGAATTTCACTGCTAACAGTTGGTGAAATGGGTCAAGAGACAGCTAATTGTAAATTTCTCAATGATTTTGGACTGACTTGTGACCTCTGCCTCTATGCTCCCTGGTTGAGGTTTTAGCAGAAATATTTTTTCTTCAAGATAAATGTTTTTCACATGATTTTTTCTGGCTTGCTTGTTTCAAGTACATTTAGCAATATTATCCCCCTGTGTTTTTCTTATTCTCCTTATGTTTCTGACAGTTGGCAGCTTCAGTTCATTCCATCAGAGTTCAGAGGTCAGTTACCAAAACCTTTTGCAGAAGGACCACTGGCTACCCGGATTGTTCCTACTGACATGAATGACCAGAATCTAGAAGAGCCATCCAGATATGTAAGGGCTACATTCTCTTCTTGCATCTCTGAAAGGAATTCTATGCCTAAAAGTCTATTGGCATGTATATTAGAGCATTGATAAAATGAGAATTTCTTAGAAAGCAATTTTTAAGGCCGGGCGCTGTGGCTCACACCTGTAATCCCAGCACTTTGGGAGACAGAGGTGGGATAATTGCTTGAGTTCAGAAGTTTGAGACCAGCCTGGGCAACACAGCAAGACTGTATCTCTGCAAAAAATTAAAAAATAAGCCAGGCATGGTGGCTTGCGCCTGTAACCCCAGCCATTCAGAAGGCTGAGGCAGGAGGAACTCCTTGAGCCCAGGAGTTCAAGGCTGCAGTGGGCCATGATTCCACTACTGCACTCCAGCCTGGGCAACAGAGTGAGACCCTGTCTTAGAAAAAACTGATATTTTTAGGGTGAGGGGTATAACAGCTTTTGTTGAAAAACAGTAAACAGTATCACTTTTATTTTCAAATTAACCTCTTTATTTTCTGTGTAAAATGTAACCTCTTTATTTTCTGAATAATTTAATTTCGAAGCTTTTGGGTAGGCTGGAAGTTTTCCTGTGGTAGAAATTTGAACCATTATTCCGAAACTCATATAATTCCTTGGCCTATTAAAATCCTCCATGGGGAACTTTCAAGTTATCAGGTGGACCTTTGACCTAGCTATTAGTATATGCCAATTTTAACAAATGAACAGTGAAGACTGTTTCCATGGTGAGTGCCAGGGAGCAACTTCTGTCAGGACCATGATCTTCTCCCTACTTGTCTTTACACATTCTGAGATCCCATGCGAATTTTATTTCAGTTCCTTTGAAAGATGACACTTTTGACATTTGATGCCTGTGAAATCTTTGATAATGGAAAAGGTAAGAAGTAATAAACATAATGCCTCTCTCGGGTCACAAAGACAGTATAAGATCATTGTCTAGAATGATTAGAAAGCACATTTTTTGGCAACCTGTCCGTTAAAGAAATATGTGACAGTTTAAATGTCAGCTTTATTTAATTTACATTTTCTTATGTCATATGCTTAAAATGTAAAATAGCGAGACGTCCAATTCTCTTTTGAAGCAAACCTGCAGCCACATCTGGTCTTTTGTCGCCCAGATTGGAGCTGCTTAGAGTTCCATGGAGACCCTCAGCATTTATGAGTGAGATTCTTATTGTATGAGTTTTAACTATAAGCTATGAAAATGGACATCTTAAAGACACAGCCTTGAGCTGTCCCCTTGTAAGATAGGCATTTCTACCACATGGTTTATATTGAAGCTTGATTCTTTTAATTTAAGGCTCTGATTCCTGTTACAATGGAAATACCCTTGAGCAGGGTAGACTGTTACGGGTCATTTTAATTTTATCTGCAGATATGAGTCTCCTGAGTGCAGGGCATCACTAGAGATGCTGGGCAGTCAAAGGGTGGGAAAATACACTGTCATAGGGGGACAGTATGAATTCAGTGATGTTATCGGAGCTTTGCTTTAGGAAGAGGTAGTAAAAATGGAGTAGTAAAAAAAAGAGCATAGACTTTAGAGTTGAGTAGGCCTGTATTCAAATCTCATCTCTGTTGCTAAACTTGATAACCTTGGGCAAATTAGTTAGCTTCTCTGTTTAATTTCAGTTTCTATCTGTAAAATGGCACCTACTTTGGAATTATGATGATTGATATTATATCTCTCTTAGCAGAAATGCAATGTTCTTATGCTTGCACAAGTGTTCTTAATCTCATAATGGTATATTAGACAGATTTGAGGTAAAGAAACCCAATCTCTCCCCTTCCTTCTTTTTATTTTTCCCCATCCTGGTAATTTTATTCCAGTGTGTCCAGACTCATCATTGCCTTTTCCACCCCAGTGACTTCGCTTACAGTGGTAACTGTGCCTGAACCACCCTTGTGTCTCTTCTCACACTGTCAAAATTATCTTCCTCTTTGAAGCGAACTATTTAAGTCCATATTGAGCAGACCTTCCTTTAAGTGTCTTCAGTATTTATGTGTGCAGTTCATTTAACCATTTAATTATCTTGGTCTGATTTAAGTATTTCTGATATCATATCTTTCCCCATCAAATGTGTGAATGCTATGAAGAGAATGACTGCACTTTGTTGCTTTTGTGTTCACTATAGTGTCTAGGACAGTGTCATATGCCCAGTAGTTCACTTTTATGTGCTTTCTCAATGGGTAATGAATATTCATTGTCATTGTGGTAATATTGTTGAGAGAAAGCTGGCTAGAAAATTTGTAGTGGCCTTTTGCACATGTCTTATGCTTTTATCACTGGTTGTCTTAGTTATATTGTATTTCCATATTCTCTGCTGTTAGACAGTGTTAAATTTGATTAAATGACTCTATATGAGCTTTGCCCAAAAGGTGATGATTTTTCAGAATGCCAATAGGAATCACCAAAATGCTGGCTGATAAAAGCAGGGACAAACAAGTGATTTATGTCTGCCGGGTGGCAGCTGTGTCCAGCCCTTTGAATGCGAGGACTTTTTTGCTTATCTGTGGTGACAGAATCATGAAAATTAGGCATGGACCTTTTTTGTTAGTTCATCAGCTTTTGTTAGTGATAGTGTATTTTATGTGTGGCCCAAGACAATTCTTCTTCCAGTGTGGCCCAGGGAAGCCAAAAGATTGGACATCCATAGATAGTGTCTGTCATTGCACCCATCCACATTCCTGAAGATGAGATTTCCTGCAGAGTTGCCTTTGTGCTCTAGTTTCAGTGATTTTCCTTCATGGGGGTCAGGGATGGGGTGTTCTCCAAATCCAGTCTACTCACCTTTGACCCTTTGGAAGTAGCAGGGATGTTTGCTGGCTTACTACTCTGTTTTTCATCATCCACTTGACTCTCATTCTGGCTTACTATTCATTCTACATGAACTATGATAAGGGATTTACCTCTTTCAGTTAACTGTTTAAAAAGATATTTGTTTTCCTGTGATAGTAAAAGTAATATATATTCATCATAAAATAATGGAAGTTATAGACAAGAAAAAAAATCAATCTGTCATCTCATTACCCAGGTATTACTACTGTTGCCATTTTGGTGTTTCTTTCCTTTCACTTTTTCCCCTTTGCATAGATATGTGCATTTGTATGTAAACAAAAGTCACAATTATTTTTTAAAGGGTGTTGCGTTTAATTGTTTAAGAAATAGTGCCAGGGCCGGGCGCGGTGGCTCAAGCCTGTAATCCCAGCACTTTGGGAGGCCGAGACGGGCGGATCATGAGGTCAGGAGATCGAGACCATCCTGGCTAACACGGTGAAACCCCGTCTCTACTAACCATACAAAAAACTAGCCGGGCGAAGTGGTGGGTGCCTGTAGTCCCAGCTACTCGGGAGGCTGAGGCAGGAGAATGGCGTGAACCCGAGAGGAGGAGCTTGCAGTGAGCTGAGATCCGGCCACTGCACTCCAGCCTGGGTGACACAGCAAGACTCCGTCTCAAAAAAAAAAAAAAAAAAAAAAGAAATAGTGCCAGGCTCATGACTGTAATGCCCATGACTTTGCCCCATATATAGAAGGACATGTTGTACAATGCTTATGTTTGTTACTTTTGGCATAAGTCCTGGTTTTTTGTCCAGGTTTATTCAAGAAGACAAAACAATGACATTCTCTATCTTTCTTGTGCGTGCTAAATAGCAGCATTATTTTTACCTGCCCTTTAGCTCTGAGTGGCAGGTTTTAGCCAGGCTTTGGCTTCTGTGCTAAGTCCTCCAACCTGTCCTGTTTCTATTCTGCATGGAAACGAGGAAAGATGTATGACTTTTTTTATTTCACTATTTTCTTTACCTCTGGGCTAATCAATAATTAGGAGTGAATAAGTGTAAAGGTTCTGTGCTTTGTACTGTATCATTATAACTATATTGCAGAAATAATGTTTTTGCTGCATATTTTTTCATAGTAAGTATTGAGTAGCTATTGAATATCTCATTATTGAACAGGAAGCATTTACAGTGGTACATGCCAAGATTGCCAAGATTTTCTGCCAGAATCAAGGTCTAAATTTGGAAGATACATTCAGTGTCACCTCTTTAGTTCTTGAAAAATTCAAATTTTTGTTCACTATTTCAAGGTGAATGGTACACTTCCAGCTCCAAATCTGGTATATGATTTAGGAGCTACCTAGTCAGTGGATGAAACCTTGGAGGAAAAAACAGCTCTTCAGGAGACAGCTTACAGAAAAAGACTTTTTTCTGACTTTAATGCTTAAGCAGACTTGCTGGAAGTTTTCCTGTTTTCTTTCTTTTTTAAGAGACTGTATCTTGTTCTGTCACCCAGGCTGGAGTGCAGTGGTGCCATCATAACTCACTGTAACCTCAAATTCTTGGGTTCAAGCGATCCTTCCACTTCAAGCTTCTGAGTAGCTAGGACTACAGGCATGCATCACCATGCACAGTTAATAGTTTTATTTTTTCTAGAAACAAAGTCTTGCTGTGTTGTCCAGACTGGTCTCAAGCGATCCTATTGTCTTGTCCTCTCAAAGAGCTGGGATTATAGGCATGAGCCACCGTGCCTGTCCTCCATCTGTTATCCTTGAAAACATAGATTGGTCACTGATTTTTTTCCTAAGCAGTAATATAGTCAGTTCTACTACAGTAAGATATAAAATTACAAAAAATTATTATGCAGTAGAAACCACAAAGCTTGTTGGGAAAACGGAGTTAGGGACATAATACTTAAAAAAACTTTGTCAGTTGAAAAAGAGATTAGGCCAGGCGCAATGACTCACGCCTGTAATTCCAACACTTTGGGAGGCCGAGGTGGGTGGATCACAAGGTCAGGAGATCGAGACCATCCTGGCTAACACAGTGAAACCCCATCTCTACTAAAAGTACAAAAAATTAGCCGGGCATGGTGGCAGGCACCTGTAGTCCCAGCTACTCAGGAGGCTGAGGCAAGAGAATGTCGTGAACCCAGGAGGTGGAGCTTGTAGTGAGCTGAGATCTTGCCACTGCATTCTAGCCTGGGCAACAGTGCAAGACTCCATCTCAGA